TTTTGGAATTACACTGAAAAAAAAATGAAACTTTATTTATATAAACATGTTTTGATAATAATAATTAAGTATGACACTCACTGTAATTAAGTACACTTAAATTTATTATAAAAAGGGGTTATATTTGTAGCGTTAAACTACAATAATTCCATGACGAACGTTCTATTTTTTTAACACATGAGTATCACATGTACTTAGAGTAGCTAGGTAGTTTAAAGTTTTATATTTCCAGCATTTATGATGAAAATTAAATAATATCCTCGCCTGCACTTTATAATGGACTAATGTATACTCGTAAAAACAGAATTTTACAATTAGATTTTCCTTTAAGTTTACACGTTTGTTGCGAATGAATGAAATGAGAATAAATATCCTCGTAATAATTATTTTTTGTTTGATTTAAATTATAAAAAAATATACTACCTAAAAGGTCTTTTCTAAAATTCAACATGAAACTGTATTTTGTGAACAAGGTCGTATTTCTAATGCCAAAAGCTTTATCAGCCTTTTACTATCAAATTTTAAGAGTCAGTATAAAATCGATCATAAATATCTACGAGAATACTCTGGGCATCAGATTATGTACGAGTAGGTAAGCATACTCATGAGATATAGCTTGTTCAGTTGCATAAAGTCGCGTCTAACGTAGTAGGAGCGTAGAACGTGATCACGGTTCCCTAGGGATATAAGGGTTGTATATAAATAAAGAGGGGTTTTCAGAAATTCCATTGGAACGAAAAAAAATACAGATTTCGCGAGGGAAAAGTTAGGGGCAACAGTTAATTTATAGAATAATATGAAATAGAAATGGCAATAGAATTGAATATAAACTATATATAAATATATATAAACTATATATATAAAAAAAATCTATTAGATTTATAAATGTGAAAGTTTATAAAAATGTGTTGGATATTTTATATTTGTTATTCAGGTATGCTTTAACGGTTGCCACTAACTAAACACAAACGTAGGATTACAGAAACGTACAGTGATTCACATAAGAAAAGCTACGGGAAACAGTATATAATAATAATAATAATAAATAACTACTTAGACGTTTTTCGCCAGTCTCTTTTTTAGAGATGTAAAGTGATTTTACAATGTAAAACGTCATGGCAATCTTAGTAATTCAGCAATTGTACCGTTTCAATGGATAATATCTTCCTTTTAACTTGTACAATGGCTCCTTGTTAGAGTACGTATAAAAGGAAATCCCCGATGGCTGATTTAGCAGCGCGTCCCTTAAAAAGCTCGTCTCACTGGGACAACTTACTGAAATTTGAACATCTTGAAAATCTCTGCTCTTTTCATGTAATAAGCCATCTAAAACGTATACATAAAGTAACTCGGTTGAGGTCTGTAGTACCTAAAAGTAGTCTAGGTTTCAAACGAAAAAGTTTACTCACTATTTTTGGCTATATAGAATATCATTAATGTACCTATATCTTTCAGAAGAAAGTGAAGTAGTTGTGTTTGCATGGTCGTGTTGGACTCAGAAATGGCAACGCATGGGGGGGATATCATGGGCGAAACAATATACTCTGTTATGTCCATGGTACTGCTCATGTCTATAGGCGACGGTTACTACTTTCGATCAGGTGGACTGTCAGCTTGTTTGCCATTCTAAGTTGCATAAAAAAAAAAAAAAAAACCGTACTAAGCCTTAATTCTATTACTATTGGAACTAAATTGAATGATGACTAAAAACAAAGTTACAATACTTTCAATCGTATTAGATTCGGTATTGTTTTGTCCTTATTTTCACATGACTTTAAAAGAACAGCAAAGAAAAGCCAGCAGAGTCTATTTCAAGTAAATGAAACCTTTATTTTGTTTCGACAGAAACATGTATAATAGTAGTACAAGGAACATTAAACCAATTTAAGTAACATTAATGTTCGATTTACGTATACTAAAAGTTATATTGCAGTTTATAGTGATAATTTTATCAACTATAATGTAATTCTTCTTGCAAATTGAAAATAACAATGAACTACTAATTATTATTAAAGTTAATAAGTGAAATATATAACATAATAAATATATATGAAACTTTTCATCATTACCTTCCTCTCGGGGGTTTTGGCAGTGTTTTTCAAGCTTGAAATTCGGGTTGGCAATGGTAGTTAGATTTTGGTGATCGCCCATTAAATTCTCTTAGTCGCCTCTTATGAAATTTATTATTAATATAATTATATAATATTATATATTTAATTACCCACGGGAAAGGAAGAAGTGGTGCTAATAATAAACTTTTACATATTCCAAAATACTTATGAATATGTAGGAGTGTCATATATATATGTCACGTAGAGATCGAATTCACAACCTTCAAGCTGAGATAGTATGTTAAACTATTATATCATTAAAGATACAAACACATAAAGAAATAAACATAGCTTAGAACCACCTCAAGTAAACCAGTTATTAAAAAAAATTGTCTATATATTTGGGATACCTGCAAATAGACACCCACACAGATTAACACCCTTTTTCGCATCAAGGGCAAAAAAGGTTATGAGTAGTGGTCGTTGACGTTCGATAATTTGATATGCTTCTATGTAGTACAGATACATCACATATATTATTAATAGTTTTTATATTATTATTTATCAAATTCGAAATTGGCTCATCTTTCTATTGTTTCCATTTGGCTCTCTTTTGTGCCCCTTGTTTTCTTTTTCCAATTGAACATTGGGGAGGAACGGATTTTTAGTAAAGCGGACTACCAATTCAATTGCCAGCAAAATTTTTTTTTATACCACTGAGGTGGCAAACAAGCATACGGCCTACCTGATGGTAAGCGGTTACCTTATGAACGCCTGTAATACCAGAAGTATTACGCGCGCATTGCCGACCCTGAAGAAACGTCTTTACCCCCCTTTTAAAGAACCCCATGCTGTAGTCTCTTGGGAAAACCTCGGCAGTATGCCCTATTAGGTCGACCTCCACGTGGGTCCCTCTAGAAACCATCGTGAACAATTCTTGTTGAATTCGTCACGATGGGTTAACTGACCTGCTTTATCTTCACCTATCATCTTTCACTGATGCCCCGTCAGTGTATACCGATAGCGCGGGTGGGGTTACCATTTCATTATCATTCATTAAAAAAATGAACACCACTCCTGGTGTACTTTTCTTGGTTGCCTACAGCTTCTTATCCCCAAGGAAAAATCATACAGAAATATAGAGGTATCTGATAGATAGTATTATATTATTAAAGTCTAATTTAGTGAGGTGTATAGCAATTTTGGAAGTTTCGCCCACGTGTTTATTCGCCACGTCTGGCACCAAGGCCTACTGCGCACTTTACCCTCGTCAACAACGCTTACTTTGTCCCTAACATTCTGAAAATGGTAGCTTAAGAAAACATTTCGAAGCCATTATGATATTATTGATAACAAATTAACACGATCGGCTGTTAAATAACGGAGGACAATGTTTTTTCTTGTACTTAAAAAAGTCTTACTGGCTTTAAAAAAGTACAAGAAAAAACATTGATAAGTGGCAAATGAATTTATCATTATTAGTACATTTATGTGTTTTTATAGAGATAGATTCATTTGCAGAGATAATATACTCTAATATATGCAAAAGGGGGGGGGGGGGTTGTTAATAAAGCGGATTACCAGTTCAATATACCCTATCAGGTCGATTTCCATGTGCCCCCCCCCTGGAATTCATCGTACTGAATTTCAGGTATACTGACCTGTCTTTTAATTTTCACCTATCACCCCTCACTGGTGCCTTGCCAGCATATACCATTAGCGTAGGCAGGGTCACCATTCCATTACCATCCATTAAAAAAAATGCATGCAAGCTCTTTCTTGTATATAATTTTTTCAATGGATATATTACTTGATGTCTCGTTTCATCGCATGCACGCAGTGCGATAACGTATTATAAATAGATTCATTTATTATTGTTGTAAAAGTGTGGAATATTTGGTATTAAGGTACTTGAACGTCTTAACCGATTTTTATAAATGATAGCGTCGTTGAGTGCTACATATGTATATTGGTTACACGATTAAATTAAGGTAAATATATCTATAAATTTTACATCCACTTTACAGTCGCATTTTGTCGCATTGACTTTGTGTCATCCACTTGTTGACAGAGTGTGAACGGTATTAAATATTATATAATAATTTTTTTATTATCTTTCAAGCAAAATGAAATTATTTGTAATTATATATAATTATCTAATAACAGAACTACCATATACAATTTCTATAGTTTTTAATAGCCAGTTTCTTATTATTTTAATCCCACAGTGCTTTTTTCAAGGCGTTTTCGTCCACGCACAATCACTCTTTGTAATGAACTTCCAGCAGCAGTATTTCCGAACCGATACGACATTCAAGAAAGGAGCACATTCCTTTTTAAAAAGCCGGCAGTACACCTGCAATGTCTCTGGTGTTGTGTGTGATCATGGGCGGCGGTGATCACTTACCATCAGCTGAGCTGCGTGCTCGTTAGCACAGGGGGTGGTATAAAAAACATATATCTTGAAGGCCTGTTTTTTATAAGTCCTTTTTATTCGCTAGATATTTAAGGACTATCAGCATAAATAATGGGATTAAGATTTTTACGTGAAACAAAATAGTATTGAATATAACTATCATAGTTATTTTAAAATTATATGATTATTAAGCATTCGAATTCACAAAAAACGTAAGTATTTTGTATAATAAAAGCATAAAATCAAATTGCCATGGAATGTGTGCATTTGGCTGCGTGCGTCAACTCTGTCTGAATCTGTAATGAAACTCCCCTATTTTAATTTCTTTATCATGTAAAAAATGCTGTAATCAGTAAAATACTGAACATCTCACAAATGTATCTTTAAATGAAGATCTTTATAGACATTTTTTCTTTATCACATAATATTGAAAATTTGGGTAATATTGCGTGTTATAAATTGAACATATTATAGGTATCTATGTATATATATATGTATAAAAGTAAAATAATGTGACTATAATATAAACTTACCTCGTTCGGTCCAACTGTTGACCGCTTGAGAAGTTTTTGCCTTTTTCTTTCTGTTGTTGTTAACTTCGATATTAAACATGTGCTTAGTATTGACAGAGCTATACTTGGAACAAGTTTAAGTATAACACTATAGATCCACATTATTGCTGTGACTAATTCTACATTTTTGGACATTTCTAGCACATACACGGTCCGGTTATGAGGCAGTGCGAGATCTTCGGCAAATTCTGAATTGTTTTGCGGCGTAACTTCACTGGGAACTATATTCATTGCGAAATAAATAGGAAGACACAAAAAAGGGCACATTATATATGCACTCACTATGGCAATAGTCGTATTTCTTTTACTGCACCAAGTTCTGTTCTTTTGTGGATAGGCGATAGCAATGTACCGCCACACTGCTAAAGTAACGGCCAACCAAATTGAGATTGTATGGAAAGTTTGACTGAATATGGAATGGAAATAAACAAAAACTGTCCACGCGTATGTGTTTTTGTTAACTTGAGGCCCAATTTTGATGTTCATGTGAAGTGCGTAGGGTATATATTCGAGCATGACTAGTAGGTCGGCGACGGCGAGTCCGGTGAGGATGGAGTTTGTTGGGCTCGTCATCTCTCGGCGGCTGAGTACGGCAATGTTGATGGAATTCGTAGCAGAGCCTACAATGCAGATGACCAGAGCGATGTATCCGTGGAGCCGACTGTACGCCTTGTTGAAATCGGTGGCGCCGGGCACGCATAACGCGTCGGTCGCGTTCGCCATGCTCGCCGTCCACTCTCGGTTCAGTTGATGTTGTCATCGGCGCTGGGACGGTGGTACACTCACATCCAATTCAGACTTCCCCCAGTTCTTCATTACGCAATCCTGAAAACAAAATAAAATCTTTATTAGTGACATTTATTTAGTTTAAAAAATAGAAGTTTATAAAATCCGACTTTATGTTCTTTGTATAACATAATATCTTCCCCGATAGGGAACGGATTTTAATAGTTATTTTTTAGTTGAAATAATGTGTTTTAGGTTTATCTTACACTAATTAAGTCAATATGTAATTCAATGTTTATAAAAACTTATTATCAATTCATAACTAGCTATAATTCTGTTCTATATAAAGAAATATGAAGATATAATCTCGATTAGTAATTATGTGAACCTTCATAAATTCTGATTTAGTTAAGCGTCAACAGAAAATAGTTGATAAATTACTGTGTTTATTTAATTATCATTTAGGGAGGAAGACGTAATTAGGATCTAGTACGTTATGTGGGAGTATTATGTTATCTATGATAGGGGTTTAAGTATGTTACTTCACATAAGCGGACGGAATGACCGAGTTGATGAAGGATATATTTATCCGATTGTCGAAGAAAGGGGAATAATGTTTGTCGTTAAGTGTGCATAGCCTTTGTTCAATCTCTATTACCTATTTTTTATAAATTTAATATGTTAGATTCGTTTTAATTATATGACAATAATATAAAATTACTAATTACGAGTATATGCTCATGGGTTCGTATTTAAGGGCATATTTTATACGTATTAAATAAATTGAATATTATAAACGACAAAAATTATTAAGCCGAATTTCCCAGACACGTTGTAAAGAAGACATCAGTTTGGGTACTCCTGTCCCATTCGTGTTTCTGCCGTAAAGTAGTGTTGTTTGCATGACAGTATTTCGGTTTAAAGGGTGAGATATGCTAGCTGTTAGCTTGTTTGTCATTCTAAGTTGACTAAAAAGCCTCCTGTAAAATTTTCGTCAATAATTTTTAAATTTGAGTATTTCTCTGCTATGGTGTACTTCCTGATTTAATTGAATCTTCTAAGTGATACATAATAATGATAAAAATTAATAATTACGATTTGAATATAAGAAAATGGCTATAAGCAGTTTCAGTGTTTTTGTCGTTCTCATACATACTAATTGCTGGTTTACTCTTAATCATACTGCTCGCAGATGCTTTAAAATTTTAATTATTTAATGTACTTTGATAATAAACAATTTGATGTCTAGCATATTTTTCAAGCTTCAAGGTTGTTGAGTTGAGTGTCTATTGTGCGTGTATGATTGATATACACAAACTCAGACAGCCATTGGCGGTATTGCATGTGCGTCATACTTGTTATGTACCAATAGTTATATATACGTACGTATATACACCATTATATAACAGATTTGGTTTGTAGGATACAAAAATATCATATTGGGGGATAAAATTGTTAGTAATGATTGGTTGGTTTGGTTTGATATCATCCATAAAAAAAATGTTTTTTTTGTTATGGATTATAATGAAATAGATAATGAAAAAAACTTCGCATATAGCCCTGGTATATAATGGCGGGACATCAGTGAGGGATGCTAGGTGTGGATGAAGTAGGTCAATTAGCCCATTGTAACAAATTCAACGATAAATCAATCACGATATTTACCAGAGAGAACCATGAGGAGGTCGATCTGACAGGGTTTATTGTTAGCAATAGGGTTGCCAATTCAAATTATTAACAATCCTTGGTCCCCTAGTAATAAGGTTATTGGGCCCATTAATAGCAACATGTCTTGTCAGCTCAACTTTCACGTGGTCCTCTATGATAACCATTATGAATAACTCCTGGTGACATAATTACAATGGACAAACTAACTTGACTTCATCCTCATCTAACACTACTCACTGGTATTTCATATACCAATTGCGTAAATCGAATTACTATTCCATATCCATTTCTTAAAAAAGATAACACAATAAATGTGCGTATTATTAAATTAGAAATAGTTTTTTACCTTACTAGAATTTGGAAGCTAATGGCTACCTAATGGAAATTTGCCTAGAGACATTGTCTGGTACCATGACCATAACATAATAATGGGTTATTCCGTATTCGTCGTATGACGTCTAAATGGCTCATCTGATAGAAAATGGTATCCGTCGTCTATCGACTTCAATACCATGGCCATAATAGAATAATTGCTGCCGGAAGAGTAAAAAATAAAAATCAGTTGAGCTAGGAAAAAATATTATGGGCGAATGTAAAGAATTATAGTGTTGCTTAGTCATCCAACATTCCAATTCAGCTTGTTTATTTTCCGAACTAACAGCAAGTACTGCGTAAAAATTCATGTATCAAAATCAACCGCCACCACCACAATTATTATTGATACATACTATTATTATTATTGTCCACTGCTGAACATAGGCCTCCCCCATAAGGGGGTTTTGCCAGTTGTTGCCACGCTTGGCAGGCGGGTTGGCAACCGCAGTTAGGCTTAGGTGATGTTTTAGGAGATACGCTGCTGCCCATCCCTAGACTATTAAGTTCTCCTAATCGCCTCTTACGGTACTAAATACATATGAAATACGAAAATTAGTATATATATTACTAATATAGTAGTAAGAATAGTACTATAGACACGTATCATTCACGCTAAGCTGAGGTTTTTATTGTAAAATTAATAGCGCTCAACTGTTGTCATTCTTAAAAATTGAGGTATCATAGTATCTGTACAAAGTTATGACTGCTATATCCTACTTTACAAAACCAAACATAGTCATCGAAACAGGTGCTTAGCAAAAGTAACACGAGCGAAAACGGATACCCAAGCAGACGACTTTGTATAAACTCCTTCCGGCGTGTTTTTGTTATTTACTTCAGATTTATCTTTGTATTTTGCAAGACTGACGTCGTCAAGTGTAATATTTTTATAGGTTAGAGCAATTGTTATTGTTATTAGATGATGGAAAAAATTTCTGATAATAATATAAATAAAAAGAAAACAACCTAACGGCTCAAATCTTGAGATTATAGCCGTGAGCGTATAACTTTTTAACTTATTATTGGATATACGAGTACATATACCTACTGGTCGCAGGCAGTTTATCGATTATTCTGTTGTAAATGGCGTAAGAGTAGCACTTATAACATCGTTCTCTGGTGTCAAGAGTGTTTAGGCCGTCTTCGTTATACGACAAGGGGTCTGAGGAGACTTTTGGAGTGAACAAAGAGTATGTATGTATCCAACCACAACAATACGTACTCTCTGAAGCAAGAGGTATAAAAACATTTTCATACTTTATATATGTTTCGGAGAAATTGATATGAAAATTGTAATAATGTTTTGGTTTGATAGTAGTAGCAAGTGATTTAGAATATATAGAAATCTTGAGATTGTAATCAAACAACTCACAAATATTCTTTTATGTTTTATAAATGTTGTAATTTGAAAACAATTTGCCACCTTTGTGGTATAAAAAAAAAACCGTTCATTTTATGAAACTTGGAATAGGAAACATCGAACGGTCCACTAACATAGAAAGTAGTGATCGTCGCAGAACGTTCTCAACAATATACATTATCAGTATTATGGATATCACAGAGTATACTGTAATTACCATAAAATTACTATGTATTAAATGAGAAGATTAGGGCTAATACCCTGCTATTATATATAACGTCTAAAGTCCTCACTCAATAACTGAGATTTGATATATCAACTATGGTGTACACAAGCGTAACTCGAATGGATATTGTAGTCCTACTGTACATATATTTCAGTACTTCAATATACCTGTATTCATTTCTTGTAATTGCTTGTATCTATAATAAGTTTACTATTGTAATGTTTTGGATGAAACAATAAAGAGTATCTATCTATCTACACCGATAGTTTGTGTGGCACAGCTGGAGGGGTAGTAAAAAAGTCTTAAAAAACTGTAGAATCATTTGGCTTTAATATTGGCGGGATCAGACTGTGACTACGATCTTTATTATAATTGTATATACATAAATAAAAACAACTTGAAATGGATTGGAATGAATTATAGAAAAGTGCAAATGATATTGTTTTATTGGTTTGGAGGATAATCCTAGAAGCTTATTAATATGACTAATGACTGTTTGATCCATTTTATAAATTATATATAATATTATATCGATCTTGAATGTTTTGACATCAACTATAATATTCTGAAATAAACTGTCTACACAACCCACGCAATAAAACCCATGCAGTTAATCTTTAGTTTTAAAAGAAGTTTGATAGACATACGTAGCTCTTAAACAAAGTGTGTTAAAAAGAAAATGTTTACAAACGACTGTAGAATAATATAGTAGAATGGAAATAATCTTTATTTACATAGACTTGTTTACCAGCATTTTAATACCATTAATTAGATTTTAATATTGGAATTAGAAGGTTATTTGTGGAGATCTATCACCAAAATCTCGACAGATTATCTTTTCAAATAATTTTGCATCCTTAAGAGCCTATTTATGTCCTACTCTTAGATTATATAGACAGAGCCTCAATGCTCAAAAACAGGTTAACTTTTTGTCAGCTAAATGTCAAATTAGCTCACTCGTTTTCTTTTATTAATCTTCTACGTAAGCATACAATTTATTTTAACGTATTATTTAATAAATAAAATGAGTATTTACGCATTAAAAAGATGAAGAAATTATAAGAGAAAATAAATAAAGAAGTTATAAAGAAATCACCCATAACTATTTATCACGCAAAATTGTATGAAAAAGTTGACCTGCTTTTCTCGAAGCATTTGTATGGAGACATTCTATCTATATAATCTGTCCTGCTATATTAGGATATTAGCTTGTTATTAACACGCTTTTCTTTCTCAACATGGGTTTTCCTTGTCTTATATACTTAGTTCCCATATGCGACTCTTATGACTTTCTGTGGATAGAAAGTAATGGTAACATTTTATTGTAATACATAAAAAAAATATGCTCAGGAAAATATATCATTACAAAATCAATTACTTCATTTAAATTAAAATTAAAATTGGCATACAGAGAAGGGAAATCAATATAAGATGAAAGCGACCAGCAGCAGAAGGTATTTGTGAAATTAA